GATAACTTTTTTCCTTTAGAATTATTTTATTAAATCATAAATGGACAACAGCTTAACTCTACACACGCACTTAAATTTTTTAAAGTTATGTCTTATTACACCATGATCCTGGCTAATAGCTTTTCAAAACTTTGAGAAAAATCTTAAAAAAGGTTTCACATGTCACCTGAAACTTGCAAATTTAACATTATCAAAGAAGGAATGCTTCTACACTCTCACAAAGACCACTAGAAAGAAACAACAATTAAAAAGCTAAGAAACTGTCTCAAAGGCATTTTTTTTTTTTACAATCCTTCCTCCACAGTAACGTAATGTTATTAAATAATTCAATCCATTCACAAAATGGCTCTCTGCATCTGCTCTGGTGTCTTCTGCCATATCACTGCATATTTATGCATGACTGAGATAAGAGTTTCCTTAACATTGTTATTTTGATAACCTGAAGCTGTTCTGTTATCTCTGGGCTCTCACCCTCTCCTATTTATACAGTGAAGCCCAGGGCAAATTGGAAGAAGCTTAATATCGGCTCCTCTCACCATAACCGCCATTTCCTCCACTGCCTCCAGGACCATAGTTTTTTCCACCATGTGGTCCCCCCATGTTCCTGCTACCACCAAAGTTGCCACTCTTCATTGGACCATAGTTACAAGATTGTTGGTTATACTTTCCAAAATCATTGTAATTTCCACTTCCATAATTTCCTCCTCCATAGTTGTCATAACCACCTCCGTAGCCCCACCCTGGTTGCCATATCCAGGTCCTCCACCACCATATCCTCCTCTTCCTCCTCCATAACCAGGACTACCCCCAAAATTGCCACCTCCGGGTCCTCCTCCATACCCATTATAGCCATCCCCAAATCCATGTCCACTTCCATATCCATCAGATCCTCCTCTAAAGTTACTTCCTGGTCCTGGTCCAAAATTTCCACCACCACCACGAGAATCTCCAAAACCAAAGTTGCCTCCTCTTCCACTCCTAGAACTTTGAACTTCCTGCATTTCTTGTCTGGACAAAGCCTTTCTTACTTCTGCATTATGACCATTGATGGTATGGTATTTCTGGAACACAATTTTATCCACAGGATCATGGCCATCAAAAGTAACAAAGCCAAAGCCTCTTTTCTTTCCAGACTGCCTATCAGTAATTATCTCAATGGTATCAATGTTTCCATATTCCTCAAAGTAATCCCTAA